AGAGAGAGAGAGAGAGAGAGAGAGAGAGAGAGAGAGAGAGAGAGAGACTTCATTTTCTGCTCAGGGAGACATTACTCCTCTAGATACATAGTTGTTGGATTAGATATTAATGATCTGTATATTGCATAGAGAACCTTTAAAGAGTAAGGATACACACCCTGATAATCTTATTTTGGTTGGTTTAATCTGTTACTCTGCTGCAGTGATGTGCAGGTGTACTCCAGGACCCTGTGACATCATTGTTGTTGTTGGTTAAAAGTGCAACAGAGCATGTTTCTGTGGAGAAACACTGCTCCTCTTCTAGTGCACTATCCCAGCATGGCTTTGAACTGGCCCTGGTCATAGTTGTGAACCATGATGGCAATGTGATCTACGTATCCGTCTTATCTAATAACACTGATCATAATGACTCATTCATAGCAGGAAATCACCTCTCGCTCTCATCAGCAGCCTTCTCTGCATCCTCCAACTTCTGCAGAGCCGTTGCCAGTCTCTCCTGAGCTCGGTCCAACTCCTCCTCCACCAGCTGGATACGTCTGTTCAGGGAAGCCACTTCAGCTTCAGCCTGAGCACAAAAAACAATGACCAGAGTGAAAAGTGTTTTCTTCCATGGTGTAGACACACTGTAGCTTATAGAAAACATGTTCCTTGCTAAGAAGCAAGTATTACCCTTACATCATGGTTCATCATCTGTGACAAAGTCTGTGTTAGCTGTATTGTCCTAGACATGTTAACTCTTGCTGTAATGCTTTATAATACAGCCTGCGCATTAAAATGCTGTATAACACAGATATTAACACCGATATTCTGCTAAACTTACAAACTGTATATATTCATAAAAAACTCTAAACATAGTTGGAAAAAATAAATGTAACTCTAACAAACACAACTGGCTTTTTTTTCTGAGCGACCCAACAGGTAGATCGGCCCATTGTTTCTTTCTTTAAATGAACACTAAGCTAGTGATGATGATGGAGGAGTGTGACATGCTTTATGTGAACGTTCCTGCTTTGGAAAACGATGGTGGCAGCAACTTGACCATTGCTCTTAAGGTTTAAAGGTACAATATATAAGATTTGGGAAATGCCCCTCAACGGCTCTCAAAATGTCAACGGCCGGCTGATGGAGGTTATCAACCGGTAGCCTCAACCTAGGGCAGCGTGAACATGGGTGGTTGTCTCATCTGGGCCAAAATGCTGAAGTCAACCCCTCTTTGCACTTGATCTTTTTGAAAAAGGGAAAGTCCAGTCATCATATGGGATGAGGACTTGAGTATTTTTAGTGAGTGTTTTTAGTGCTTTTAGTTGATTAACTAGAATTTGGAGAATTTGGAGCTTGCTACTCCTGGAACCACGCCCTTACCCTGGTATATTGTTCCAGCCAGGCATTCTTAGAACAGCGGCCTTTGCTGACAGCTGTGCTTTCTATATGTAAACTTTGAAATACATTTTTCAGTAATGACTCTGAAACTGAAAAGAGGCAGAAGAGCAGAAGACTAAAGGCTGGAATGTTTTCTTTCCTTCCTTCTATGATCGTAGATCAAAATGGTTGCCAGTTAACAGGAACCATACTCATACATATAAAAGTCCAGTGTTCATGCGCTGTAATAGCTAATGTACAAAATTGTAATCTTTTATTCTTGTTTGCATATTCAGTCTCTTCAAAAGGAAAGGGACTAAATAAATACTGTGACCCGGGAGGAATGGATGATGCACTCAAAATGGACTTGGACCATTGTTAAGCCTGCAGTCAAGGTTGAGCGACTGACATCATGGCCAAAATAGGGCTCTGAAATCCCCCCCGACAGCTGTGAGGAGTCGACGCAGAGCATGATGAGAATGGAATGCAAGGGAGAAGCCGGGAACCAGCCAGCCCTGGTTTACACTGGCAGCATCACAGCTTTTATCAGACTCAGTTCACATTGTATGTCAGTATGAGAAGCAATGTACATAAAGCCTTTCTGTACATAATGTACAACCTATTCTTTACGACAGCCCCTCTTCCTGAGGTAGAAATGTGGTGCAGAAGAGTATTCTTTTATTCTTTGAAATAAGGATAGACAAACTGCGAATTAATCACAACAAGTGTGTATTGCACTTTTGGAATTGTATTACTCACATCAGCAGCCTTCTTGTCGGCCACCTCAAGCTTCTCCTGAGCATCCTTCAGGGCCTCCGAGTATTTATCAAGCTCATCCTCCGTCCCCTTCAGCTTCTTTTGCATTTGCAGAAGTTCGTCTTCATGCTGATGGCATGGGAGATCAAACAGAGTTAGCAGTGTGTTCATCAGAGAATTTGTTGTCATGCTTAATACATTGATTGTAATGCCCTGGAATTGAATAGCTTCTATGCATTCCAGTTAAAGGTATGGCAACATGTCTTCAACATGCCAATATGAACATTGAAGCACTTCCTCCTTTCCTACTGGCCATCAAAAGATCCCTTCTTGGCATTGCTTATAAAGAAAAATCCACATGTTCTGTGTGAATAAAGGACTAAAACGCCTGCAACCTTAGAAGCTATCCAATCGCTTTGGCTAACTCCAACTGCGAGAAGTTTTGCTTCTTGTGTGTTTGCGTAGTCTGTCCTCTTTCCAGGTCTTGCAGCTTAGGCTGTTTGCTACCTGCAAGCTGCTTGACATCCATTTTCTTTCAAACTTTCATCATAGCATATTAATCTGTTGGTTATTCTGTACACACAACATCTATTGCATGTGTGTCTGTCCTGGAAGAGGGATTCCTCTTTAGTTACTCCTCCTGAGGTTTTTTGTTTTCTTCCATTTTTCCCCCTAAAGGTTTTTGGGAGTTTTTCCTGATCTGATTTGAGGATCTCAAGACAGAGGGTGTTGTATGCTGTACAGATTGTAAACCCCTGTGAGGCAAATTTGTGATTTGTGGTATTGGGCTGTGTAAAAAAAACTGACTTCACTTGACTGAAGCCTGATATTAACTTTGGAATGCATTTTTACTCCGAATGAGGACTGTGGATTTTGTTCTCGATCACATGAAGAAATATCTTAATGACCAGTTCAAACAGCGGTAATGATTACAGCAAGCAGAACCTGTTTCAATATGGGTATCCGACTATTGTTTAAATACAGACTTTAATACAGTATACATTGAATTCTGAGCTTCCTTGCACTCAGATACCAACAAATATCTTCATGAAATCATTTTGCACACATTTTTACGACAACGCATAAGGCCAGAGTGTGCTTCATAAAGTACTTAAACTAATTGAAGCGGCACTAGCTCAGTCCACACGGAGGGAGACTGGACCGGTAGTTGGAGAGGTTCACCTCCTGAGCACATCCGAGGTGCCCTTGAGCAAGGCACCGAACCCCCAAACTGCTCCCCGTGCGCTGTATAACTATACAGCGCATTTAACCTATCCTGGGATAGGTTAAATGCAGGCGCGTGCTGTGCGGTGTACAATATCACGTGTGACATTAAAAGTTGATTAAGATTAAAAGATAGTGAAGCATTGTCTCAACTGAAGTGTAATTCATTTGCATAAACAAAGTACAGTATTTGTGCGCGTAATATTTACGCAATTTACTATTGCTGTGTACACCAGAATAATATATAATATGATTATGTATTGATACTTGTCTGTATTAATGTAGAAGTATAATACAAATATAACATAATATAATGCAGTGTAACAACATCTTTAAATAAAATAGTATAATGCAAAGGAGAGAGAGAGAACCATACACTGCAAAGCTGGCTGCTTAAAGTGAACCGTCTTTTTTCTGCTCTGTTTTGCATCTGGGTGGCTGAATGAGCTGTCCATCAGTTTGTTGCAGCGAGGTTGAGAGGGGTTATCCAGGATGGCTTCGATGTTGTCCTTTATCAGTTCTCTACACCAACTGCATAGCTTCCAAAGTTGCAGTCTTTTTAGGGCTTCATTCACTCTTTGAACGGAGCACGTGGATACTCGATTGGAAGCATGTCAGGAAGGCAGTGTGAACACACCCATATCCACACCCAGGTAAACTAACGACTGGGCGGAGAGCTGCCAGTTTATGGCAAGACCCAGCGTTTGCAGGTGCTGTATGACTTCTACCGGAAATACACCTCAGTGGAAATACACCTGAGCGGCACACTGGTGCGAGCGGCCAATGAGGCATCCATAAACGTGGTCCCAAAGAGACGGCGGTGTAGTTTTCCGGGGTCGGAACAAAGTCTCACCATTGACTCCCCATTGGCATCGGGGAGGACTCTCCACATCTTCGTCACAGACTGAAAAGTCATCTGTTCAGACTGCACCTTGGCTCATAAAATTATAATATAAAAAAACTCTTATTGTTTGTAAATGTAGCGCTTGAAGTAGTTCAGCAGTTTTTGTGATTTCTTGGGGTTGAATGTTCTTATTGTAAGTCGCTTTTGATAAAAGCTTGAGCTAAAGAGTTATCCAATTTGGAAAGTTTGGAAAGTTCAGGTTTTTTTAAGTGTTAAAACCCAAACATGGAAAAGTACATGCTTAGTGACAATTAGTTCATAATTTAAAAAAAAAGAAATACCTCACTTTCTTAGATTAATAATAAAAACGTGATGCTTTATTATGAAAACGTGCTAGTTGTTTTTGAATCATTAAAAGTTAAATTTTCATGTTGACGAGTTACCTAAACCTATGCATTATAAAATATATAACAAATTATGGTTTGGGATACTGTGAGCAAAAAAATATAAATAATCTCGAACTAAACTACTAAACTGAAATACTCTGACTGTTAGAAGCCAGAGTATGGACTATAGTTTGACATGAAAATGGGAATTTGACATCAAAGTTTAATAAAAAATGATAAGAATAACTAACTGCAGAATTCACTTAGATGACAATTGTTCATGGAATTAAAGCTGCTCACTAAGAAAGTTTAGTCCGGTTTCATTTTCACAGGGGAAAAACCCACTAATCATGCACCAACATCACTTGTAGTCTGACCATATTCACTGGTCATATCCAAATGTTTAACAGTGAAGAAAGCAAACAGTGTAAACGTGTGGAGCTCAATGTAGAACAAAATGACCAGTAAAAATTCAGGAACATAAAATGAGATCTGTGTCTAAGAATAGATTGCCGCAGTTGCATGCTGGGAGGGTTCCCAACACATCTACCTCATGTAACTGCAATCACATGATCAGCAGTGAGTTAATCATATGAACTCTACTCATTTTAACGTTATTTCAAATAAGAGCACACAGTTAAAAAAAACATCCTCAAACTGTGTTTAGCCTGATTTAGGACATGGGTTGGGCTGGTTCCCAATTTTTCTTAGTCTGACTGGATCCCATTGTATCGCTTCTGTGTGTCTACCCACCTGCTTGCTTCTGTCTTCGGCTGCTTTCTTGTCTGCTTCAGCTTGTTCAGCCTGGTCCAGTGCATTCTCCTTGTCTAACTTTAGCATGAGCATCTTCTTTTTGATGGCCTCCATTTTGGCTGAGGTTTAGCTAATGGGTTTTTGCAACCGTGTAGAGATAGGAAGACAAACCCGAGAGCCTGGTGGAGACACTAAACTCTGACAAAGATAGAGGGAGGGCATTTATATGACAGAGGAGGAGACACTCCCACTACTAAGCCCCTCAACTCACGCACATGACCGCACCCTCCTCTGTCTTCCACAATCACCTCTCAAATGAGAAGCAAACCTGCACACTAACAACATGTGTTTGTATGTATGTTTTCATGCTTGGAAACTGAAATAGATTAGCATTCCACAATAAGATGCACTGTAAGTCTGGCCTGTTCCTTGTAATGTGGCTTCTAAAGTGAAGAGAACATTGGAAAGAATAGAAAGATTACTTTCATTTCCCTGCATGGGATCAAAATAGTTTATCCATTATGAAATAAGCTGAGCTACAAGACATGACAAAGCAAAATACTTTTGTCTTTTTCTGTCTGACACACAGTGCTCAAATTACAGACCAGTTATAGGTCGGATGTTAGTCATCGGAATAAAATGACCAGTCAGTTGTGGGTTTGTGATTGACTTTAGTCTATGTGTTATCTTTCAAATGTTCCAGGGTCTTTTGATTCTTCTTCTTCAACTACTCTTTTTCTTCAGAATACTCCTGTCATCACTGACGTCCTGCCGTTGTTGAATTAGAAGCTATGGACAAAGAATATATTGTAGCCGTAGGTGGGCACCCAGAGCTCTACGATACCTGATATTAATAGACACCGGACGAAACTATGTGTATAAATGTATGTGTATAAACTATAGGGTACAAACAATAACGACGCTGCCGTATTCACGCCTATATGATGTTATTTTGATAGTTGATGGAGCTGCTCCAATGTTAGCAAAGCCTAGCAACATCGATCCGAGCTCCATTGAGAAAACAAAAGTTATTTGCTTGTTGTCTTTCGGAGAGAACAAAAAAAACATGAATTCAGACTTTTTGTCTTCATTTTGGCATCATGATGAAGTTATTTCAGCATCCCTTTTATCCGTTTATTGCAATTAAATCACAGCAAAAATGTTTATTTTGGGTTCATACAGCTGTAGTAAACCAGCAGAGGTGTGGTTTGCTCAGTGGCCGTGCATTTTATACCTGGGCCTTCACTGCTGTCCTGCAGCTGAATAATCTCATTATGACGCCACAGCTACGGTTATTATTTGTTTCGTGTAAAAATGAAGCTCAACACCTATAAATACACTAACTGCAGAGTGCAGATACATGAATACGCCGAGAGTGCGTCTCCTCTCTGCTCTGACTGCAGCGCGAGGCTGCTGTGAGAGTAACCGCCTGTGAGTGCTTTGGGGCGGCTCACGGCAGCACCCGCTGCTCGTTCACGACAGTGCAGAACGTACGTGCTTTCACGTCAGAGTCAAAACACCAGAAAAGTCTCCAACAACACCGGAACAAGTCGCTAGATTTGTCACTAGTAGCTTTTGACAAAAAAAGTCGCCATGAGGGTTTGGAAAGTCGCCAGATTTAGCGAGAAAGTCGCCAAGTTGGTAACCCTGGCACCGGATAAATATGTCCCCAGAGCAACATAGGACATAACAATAGTTCCTATCACATATAAAACCAAACAAAAATCCATCTTCATAAAAACAAGTTGTACAAATAATAATATATGAACAAGCATATTAAATAATGACATAAATTATATTTATGGCAGTTAAAGCTATTGCAGATGTAAAAACAAAAGCAGTTTATTTACCAAAGCTGCTGTTCACTATTTAAAGACAAAGTCCATCCTCCTTTGTTTGTAATAAAGAGTTTAATCTCATGGTTGTTCAGTACATCCGTGTGTTTTAGTTCCAGTAAGAAGTCCTTCTGGATTCATGGACGCCAGTGAAGACAGTCGAGCCTCCCCAGTTGTATTTCTTGAATACGTTTTAAAGTGTTTGAGGGCTGAAAATGTCCGCTCCACAGAGGCAGCAGATATTGAGATTGTCACCGCCCAACATGTCACGCTAGCCCACCAACCAATCACGTATGGCTAGGCCAGCTAGAAGGCTCTGGTACGTCAAAGAATGCGCCCAACATGTACAATAAAGCCCAACATGTCAAACTAAAGATCTGATTGGTTGAACACTATGACAATCAACAATATCGTCCCCATTCACTTAAACTGCAAAGGGATTCACTTGAGACTCTGCAGGCCTCTGCCTCTGTTCTTACCTAGAGACACAGAGGTGAGATCTGATTGGATAAAAGCTCTACTTAAAACAAGCTGCACTGGAAGCAGAGCAACTGAGGAAGACAGTAGCTGTGCAATGAGAAAATAAGATAATGGGAAAAAAATGATAATACATGTAGTGTATTTTTGAAAACATTATTAAATTATAAAATAGCTATAACTTTGTGATTCTGTCTAGGCCAGCAGAGAAGGTCTTGCTGGCCCTAACGGCCCACCACTGGGTTTGCTAGATACAGTGAATACAGCTCCATGAAATTCAGCGAGTGCCTCCGGATGATGTTATGAACTGAGACAAGACGATGTTTAGTTTCCCGGGATACGTGGGACTTCCACAACGTACGAAGCAGCCAACAGTGGTTATTCCTTCCATGGTTGACGGCGGAAATAACTGGCTTCTTTGACAACAGTTTCAATAGAGATAAGCCACGTCTCCTCTCCGGCGCATCTGGCGCGAATAAACACAAATGATCTTGTGAGTAACGCAACATAAAAATTCACTTTGCATTTGGTGTGAACACAGCATTAGGATAGAGTTACTTTATGGGGGTTTTATTTAGAAAAAAGAAAGCCTTGTCTTGGGTTCCCAGTTAAGATACAGGTGTTTCTCAAAGTCAAGGAAGGATCCGTCAGCAGCTGTATTTCAGAATAGTACGTCATCGAATGCCGCCAAAGGTTCCAATGTGGAGGATCCAAATTCTACAGAGTAGTGAGTCCTTCGTTCAGAGGTTTGTAAAGGATGCATCTGTGAACCCTCCGCGCTCCTAAAACACCCATAGTCCTATGCACAGCATGCATTTCCAGACCCCGATTTGAAAACAGAGGAAATATGCTTTAAACTAAATAGATAACTAAATAAACTTTAAGTTATTTCACCTCAGCAGTCCACAAAAATCTGTTTCTGAACAAATTTGAGGCAAGAAATTGCCAATCCAGTTGCTGAATCTTCAATCATATTAGATCTATGAGGCCACATTTTAAAGTTTGTTTCAACTTTCATCGTGCAGCGACTTGTTAAAGGAGCCATTAATAGCACTGAGGCCGGCAACAGAGAGAGACAACGGGGTAGAGACAGGTTCTCTGTGGCCTTATTTAGACCTCACAAGAGTGGGTGATTGTTGGAGGACACGAGACTAAACAAGACGGGTCTGATAATTTTTATTTTGTTTCAGGTACAACTACTGTGTCTTGTAATGGAGTCTGATGGCTTTGAGGAGAGCTTATTAATTGTATGTTTTCATAAATTATAATAATTGTAAATATCTGTTGATTTTATTTATTTTTTATAGGCCTACGTGTTTTGAATCTGTGTTTTGAGGAATGCAAAATCAATATACCTACTAGAAATTGTAATGTAGTCAATTATCCTAACTACATTTTTTTTCATAAACCTGTGTTTACCCTATATGGGCCTATATGCTCACATATAGAGTATTTGTACACTTTTTGTGGAACTTATCATAAAAAATACTCAGCTCAAAAACTGAAAGTCATCGAAAAAAAGGTTTTACCATGAGCTACTACTTTGAAAATATCATTATTATCAAGAAAAAATACGTTTGTTTGTGGTGTCAAAATTGTGAGGAACAGAGCAGGTTGAAAAACTGCCACTGTCTGCTTTCCTCCAGAAATTTCTCATCTCAGTTAACATTGAGTCCTATGGGGCAGTTGCTTTGCCAGGGTTCAGATCTTTTAATCCGCCCACTCGACTGCTTTCATTGTGGGCATTGTGACATAAAATGGCAATTTCTCCATTAAAAGCTCTTTACAAACACATTGTGAATCTTCAACTCTACATGTATTCTAAAATATTTACACAAATCCTCCCAGAATAGAAGCCAGATCTCTTTGGGAGAATTACCCAGACATCTCCCAATCCTTCATTCAGTGGCCTTGCTTTCGCATTTGTGCTGCTCAATAATAGTTTTGAGTTTGATATGACACTCTTGATTACCAAATATATTTGTCAATATCACACTACATTGTAGGCTAGTTCTGTTTTTTAAACTTTTTCTTTTAACTCACTCCGGCCCACTCTTAAAACACCGGCACAAAGTATGTTATCATGGAAACACATCAGCTGTCGACATAAATGACGTTGGTCTCTACAGATTGGTTAGAAAAATCACCCCCCCCCTATGGAAATGATTGGAGTGATGGCAACATCAGACTGAAGACGAAAAGAGAGTGTTGACAATTCTGTCCGCTATCAGGCAAGCAGTTTCTTCGAGTCCCTGTTGCTTTCAGGCACCCCAAGCCAATTGTGTAAACTGGTTTGATTCTATAGTAACATGTTTGTGACCAGCACAACTTATCCTTTGACTTTAAATTCACCTCAGTAGCTCATGCAAACCCATTATGAAATCTGAAATGGTCCAAAAATTTCACAACACATTAACAGCTATTCCGTGAAAACCGTGCTAGCAATCCGAATGCCTATTTGGCCCAATAAAGTCAGAAGTTTTGTGACTGGTAAGAGCCAAAACAGGAGTGTTGTTGAGCTTTGTACATTCCGATTTCCTGATGATTTCCCATGAGTAATCACCGTTTTTTGCGATTTTCGTCTCTTAGAAAAGTCATAGCACACCGTTCCTGATCATTCCGCATGTATTTTTTCTGCATGTGTTGACAATGCTGTAAAACTAGTAGCATGGCAAAATCCATACAGAATATGAAGAGGCATAAGATAAACCTGTCGAATTATAGTCAGTGTGGTTTTGCACAAGGCTTTCAGGTCAAAGCACTCATCTACAAAGAAGTAAAGGTCACATTAGACGATTTGACTATTTCAGAGCATGGATATTAAAATCCAAAAACACGTTTTATTTTTTCTGAAAAAAAGACGTCACACTTCATAAAGTT